GTGACAACCTACAATACAATGAGGAAAAGCGAACATCTGAATAATTTAATTCAAGGTCACTGCTAAGGAAAACACCCTTTTTTAGATTATAAAACATTATTGTGTTAGTACATTATTTTCTGTAAACTTATAATCATATTAAGTAATAAATAACAACAATGCAGTTGCTACTCACAATAACATTCTAAAAATGGGTTATAGTATTATTCTGCAGTTGCCTTATTTAGAGACTCTTTTAAAAACTATTTTTGGAAGAAATATCTGGGACAGGTGAAGGGAACGTTTAAAACCAATAACAATAATGCTATAAATGGAAAAATTGGGAAAATTATTTGTGACAATTGTGATGTACTCAAACGCTTAAAGGGTGAACAAGATAATATTGCTGCTGCTTTTATAAATGCATAGCTAGAATTTAGAAATGTACCCTTACTGGTTAGAATACTATTTTGAAAGGAAAAAAACACAACAGAACACGAGATTAATAATGATAATGCTTATTAACTGTATGTGTTGAAGGGATAAAGGAGAAAAGTTCACAAGCAGTCCAGTTGGTTCAAAAACTTGTTCAATACTATGATCTCGATTTCCAACACGTTTTAGAAAAAGTTCAGAATTTTAAGGGCAAAAGAAAGCTGAGAATGGTTAACTTTGGATGTAAATGACTGCATAAACTGGCTCTGCAACAGAAGAATGGAGTATGTTTAATCCTGCGCACTTTCCCTGGTTGGTAGGTATTACATTAATGATTCTTTAGGCTTACTCACTTTACTGTTGGACATAAGAGGCTGTTTGAAAAACCGGCATGGGTTGGTTTTCTGCCTACTCACATTGCTGGTACTTCAAGGATCCAGCTTTTGTCATGTAATGTGATGCACTCCTAATTCTATTGCACTGCTTACTTGATGTCCCCATCCTGTTGACTGTATTGCTTTACACTGTATAATCCACCTTGAGTTTCAGTGAGAATGGAAGATTTGTATTCACTTACCGTGAAGCTTCCTTCTCGGTGGTCCAGAGTGGGGCAGGTCCTGCCCACCCTCTCTTGATGGACACGACTTCCGGTCCTTTACGTTGTGCAGTGGTTCAGCTGTTCATGAATATGGTCTAACTGATTACGTGATGTGGCGGACTGTTGCTGTTTGCTTGCTCTAATGGTTAAAATACAGATTTGTATTTGTTTAAGCCCATGGCTGTGGTGGTATTCCCCAGTTGTCTGAGGGGGAAGGAGTTATTTTTTTAAGTGAATTTACAGCAGCTCGGAGGTGGCTTTCGGTATGACTGGGGATCAGAGGATAAGCCCCTCCCCTCTGGGATCAAAGTTTGCCGGTCCTGCCTACGGAAGGGGGAGGTGCTTTCCCAGGAGTAAGGAGTCAAGGACTGCCCCACTCTGGACCACCGAGACGGAAGCTTCACAGTAAGTGAATACAAATCTTCCATTATACACCGTGGTCCTATTGTTGTATTATAGAGTAACAAAAGCAAGCTTTGAATCTAAATACAACATAGGAAGGAGGAGGAAAGGCCCATTGGCAGGGGTAATGAAAGATAGGTGCATGTTCAGTAGAGCGTACATAGGCTTCCTCTCTGTAAGCGATGAAAACCGAGGTTCACCCAAAAATCAACATTTTGTAGCGGGATTTGAAAGCGGTGGGATCAGTGTTCCCTCTAAGCTGAGTCAGGTGAGCTAGCTTACAGTTTTTGAGCCGCCAGCTCACACTTTTTTGTCTGCTCAGGAAACATGGCTCCAGAGCAAACTAATTTATGCACTAGCCAAATCGCTTACTCACAGCTTTAATGCCAATAGCTTACAAGGTAGGATGTTTGCTCACAAGACTCCACAGCTTAGAGGGAGCATTGGGTGGGATGGGTGGTAAGGGGGCTCCATATAGGTGTTCTGGAATGCAGTTCCAGGCATAAAGGGAAATGAACAGAGTCATTCAAGTGTGCGTGGAGGGAGCTTCGGGTAGGGAGCAAAGCTATCAGGAAGGGATACTATTCAGTAACGTGGAGGAAAAACAAGAACAACAAACACTCTCTTAGTACCCGTCAGACTTTTTAAAGCATTACCCAAGGTTACAATGACAGCAAATGCCTCCTGTCCTGATTCCCTTTCCCACACCTTGAGAGAAGGAATCCTAGGTTTCTGTGAACAAAAATTAATTATAGCAATTATTTGTGCAAACTCAGCCACTAAAATGACCATTATAATGTTTTTCTTCTGTATTGGGGGAAGCAAACAAATCATGTGTTGTGTGGTCCTTCCTTGTTCTTTGGGACAACTTTCAGTGAACGGACATTACTTATGCCAGCTGTCCAGAACGAAGTCGGACAGTGCTTGTTTCCTGTGGATACCATACCAGGGGGTGGGGGTGGGGAACACTGCAGACACCAGGAGGGACTTTTCTCCTTGTTTGGGCTTTCCCAGGCTGCCACCTACAGCTCTTGCTGGGTGGAACAGGAATTATTCCTTCAGTGAACAAACAGCTGAGCTTAATATTTATCTTTTTAATTCTGTAGTCAATAACACACTTATTAGGTGACTTGGTTCTAGTCTTGCCCTTGTAACTAGTGTGATTTATTAAATACAAATGGAGAGTTTAGGCTGGATACAATTTTCTGGGAAATATATTTAATATATTTTTATGGTCAGTGCTAATCCTAGCTAGTTAGGAAGCTATTTGACAACAGACTAGGGAAGGGGAAAAATGATATTTTAGGTGTTGATGTGTTAATGGATGGTAAATTGTTTGTAATCTGTAGAGGTCTTCTAACTTTACCAAAGAAGAGATAGAAACCTTATAGTGACCGTGTTCAGTTTCCTTTGAGTCATTACCTTTTGTTTTGGTTCTAGAAGTTTTGACATCTCTTTTAGTTTTATTGTATTTTTATTATTTATTGGATGACCTTGGGCAAGCCATAGTTCTGGCACAGCTGTTCTTGAAAAAAGAACAGTTTCTGTCAGAGCTCTCTCAGCCCCACCTACCTGACAGGGTGTCTGTTGTGGGGAGGGGAAGGGAAAGGAGTCTGTAAACCGCTCTGAGACTCCTTTGGGTAGTGAAGGGCGGGGTATCAATCCAATCTCTTCTCTCCTTTTTCTACCAAGCATAATTATTTTTGCTCTGTTTCATAACAATGCCTTTGGATCCCGCGGGCTTGGGCAAGGGGAGGGGGAGGCAAGGCTGATCCAAGCCCTTTCAGTCTTGCCCTTGGTTCCTGTGGGCTTGGGGGGGGGGGCAAGGCTGAAGGGGCTTGGATCTGAGTGATCCAAGCGTCAGGCTCCTTAGTCAGGTCACACCACACAGGGCTTCATAAGAAGATAACTGTTTATTAGTGGTTCCAGTACTAAAGAACAGGTGTACAGATTATGTCAGGAATAACCGTCAGTACTAGGGTCTCTGACTTATAGTGAAATCAAACCTTCCCCCTATTAGCATAAACCAATGGATATAGTTCGCACATGCGGCAAAGCAAGCGGGCATAGAAGAGAAGTTGTTAACTTTCCCAGCTGTGGAAGCGGGAGCTGGAACATCTGCAAGGTCTGCATAAGATAGCACACAGTAGCTGGGCAGGAAAGAGCTGAGAACGAGAAGGAGGATACCCCTCCATATTCCAGATCTATGACAGGGTTACCTGACACCAAGCCTCTTTCAGCCTTGTCTTTGGCTCCCGTGGGCTTGGGCAGGCAGGGGGGAAGGCAAGGCTGAAGGGGCTTTGATCTGAGTGATCCAAGCCCCTGTCAGCCTTGCCCCTGGCTCCCGCGGGCTTGGGCGGGGGGAGGCAAGGCTGAGGGGGCTTGGGCGGGGGGGGGGTGAGGAGTGCGGGCGAGCAGTGGGAGCTGCTGCAGCCGCCGCAACTGCCCGGAGGAGGAAAAGCGCGGGAGAGCTGGGGCTGGTGAGTGAGTGAGTCCGAGAGCCTGCAGCCAGTTGGAGGGTTGCTGCTTGTCGGTTCTGCGTTCCTCTGAGGTCTGTGCCCTAGGCGGTTGCCTAGTTGGCGTAATGGTAGCACCGGCCCTGGCTGTGATTCGCAGCAACTCAGTGTTGAGTCATGGGCAGACAAATTTGTCATGGGATGGTTGCTTTTGCTTTGATTTAGTAATTTATTTTGGAGTTCAATCTCATTGCTATAGACTGGACATGATCAGTGAACCTTAAAGTTACTGAGAGTTCATTCATGACATGGTTTGGCAATTGTGTTTTCCTGAATTTACTGTGATGTTAGTTTCTTTGTGTGTGTCGTTTCGCGGTTTTAGAACTGTTATTTGGAAGCATGGTTAAGCATGGATTGTTATTTGTACTTCTGCAGACTTTACTGGGCATCCTCAGTAGTAGTCTGTTGGTTTTCTCGTTGTCTCTTCAAATGTTCTTCCATACAACATCATCTGTACTAGCTGTTGATTCCAAGTTATTTTTAAGAACAATCTCACATTACAATAATAGATGGAGAATTGCAAAGTCATGGATGACTTTGGCCAATTCTCTGATACAGAAATCTGTGCAGCCTGTGAATGAATTAATTGGTGGTGACTTTTGCTTGTTGTGGCCACCTGAAACATGAGCATCCTCCGTCTCCATGCTCGTTTCACCAAGCTGGGGAAGACTTTACGAGCAACAGGGAGCTGCAAGTGGGCCCTTTTCCTGATTGGGATTTTCTCCTGGAAACAAATTTTATGGTAATATATAGTTTGGTAGTATTTTTAACACTTATTTAACTGAAAATTCTAGCCATGTATTTTTAGCTTGTTACCATAGTTATTAGAAAATTAAACCCATCCATTAAAACAATATAATATGAAACAGCTTGCACCAAGAAAGAATTAGGAATCGTAATTGTGCTGCATGCTACCAAGAGAATTAGATTTATACATATATTAGTCATTGATGTGTAAAGGGTGCCCTTTCCACAACTTGAGTCTCAAATAAGTAAATTTTACTCTGCCTCCTTTGGCAGTACGCTTATATAGATTTCTCATGATTCTGTGATTTTGTCTTTTGTCACAGATCTTTCAGCAATTGAGCCCATTGTCTTTCTTCGACCCTTCCTGGATGTTATCCGCTCTGAAGATACTACCGGCCCCATCACTGGATTGGCCCTGACATCAGTGAATAAGTTCCTTTCATATGCACTAATAGGTATGGATCTGGAACAGCTGGTTCTAATGTCAGCTGAATCTGTTGCTTGCTTCTTGAAGGTGTTGCTTGGACAGGTGTTTACTAAATATGCATGGAAGATTATGGACAAACTGTCAAGTAATCATGCTGTGCAAATTGCAGAAACCACGTTTTAGAAGCGTTTAGAAGGTGGTCTAAAGATCAGGATCCAATCACCCCACGGTACTTGCCCGCCAGAAATAACAGTGAACTACCCCCCTACAGCAATAAAATTGAACAACAGGTCTCTGCAACACAGTGTCTGGCACATCAAAGCATTTAGGAAAGTGAAAGCATTTCAGTCTTCACACGCCTCTCCCCCTCCTCCTTCCTCTATGGCAGGTGAACTATAAAATGCATAGTGAGCCTGACACTGCCTGCCTACCTACTACATATTTTAAAATGTGTGAACTAATTTTCTCCTCCTCTTCATAGTTTCCGTACTGGAAGACTCCATGAAGATCAGAGGGATTTAACAGCTGCTTTAGTGATCTGGGGAAGGTCATAGTGATTGCCAATTTTCTCACAATACTTTCAGTCAAAAATGTTTTGAATTAGACCTTGTCTTTACACTTCTGTGGTAATAGGGTGGTCTGCAACACAATCCATGCTTTATCTAAATATGTTTAATATTTTTTTTGGGGAAAAATTATTCTTCCTCGAGTTCCCTCCATTGCTTGAATAGGAGTGGTAGAACATGGAGGAACAACACAATTCCAGGTTTTAGCTCCGTAGACTTTTCCTTTTAGGAAAGGCCAAGAGGCCTTTGTCTCTTTCAAGCCTTCTGTGTGGTTGGTTTGGGGAATTATTTACTTTGAGACTCTTGCATATACCTGGAGCAATACTGGCCTGCAGGAGTAGGAATCACGTGCGCTGATAAGATTGACTATGTCTGTTCTTTTCTGGGAGGGGTCTCAAATTAGACCAGATCCAAAAAAGGCAGGTGCCTCATACTTCATTCTACTCAGCAAACCAGTCCAAGTTAACTCCTTCCCCGAAAAGTGGTTAATTCATAGTTGAGACGATCTTATCGAGGTAGAGGGACTGAATTTCAATTCTGGGGATGTTTTTAAGTTAGATTTTTATCTAGAGAACTCAGGGCATTGTACATAGCTTTCTGACCCATTTTTATCTTTACAGCAACCCTATGAGGTGCAGTGAGGCTGAGACATGGCGAGTGGCCCAAAGTGCCAATTCCAATAACCTTTATTGGCATAACAATAACTTTAAAAAGAAAAGAGTACAAATCAGCCCATATGCCAACAAATAGAAACAGAGTACAGCAATTTGTAACATTGTATATAGTAATAATAATAGGGCAAGGTGATAAAAGTTCGGAACAGTAATCTCGAGTATCACAGTAATTAAAACAGTTGCAGTAAGAAACGTAACTATCCGGAGAGGGATCATAGATACACCTTATCTCTCTCACTCACTCTCTACCTCCTTTCCTCTTCCTCCTCCCTCTTTTCTTTCCTCTTTTTCTTGGCTCCTAAGTACATTTGCCAGGAACTCTGCCACCTGCTCAGTAACTTCAGGGTTTTTATCCGCTAGTAAGAATTCAGCACCTCTATTGGTTGCAGCCTTAGAGAGTTGAAGGAGAGGGCTAATCAAGTGATAAAAGGGTTGGAACACTTTCCCTATGAGGAAAGGTTAAAGCGCTTAGAGCTCTTTAGCTTGGAGAAACGACGACTGAGGGGTGACATGATTGAGGTTTATAAGATTATGCATGGGAAAGAGCAGGTTGAGAAAGAGGTACTTTTCTCCCTTTCTCACAATACAAGAACTCGTGGGCACTCCATGAAATTGCTGAGCGGTCGGGTTAGAACGGATAAAAGGAAGTACTTCTTCACCCAAAGAGTGATTAACACATGGAATTCACTACTACAGGAAGTGGTGGCGGCTAGAGATGTAAAATTTCCGGAAATTTTGAAGCTCGGAAAACCCCCCGGTTTTTTCCGGGGGGAAACGGAAATTTCCAGAAAAATTGAAAAAAATGCTACATTAGCATTTCTTTTGTCTTTTCTAGACTGAAAGTCATTCTGTTACTTTAGGAACATAAAATATGACTATGGACATTTTTACTTGGCATGAAATTGTCACAACTAGCATATTAAAAATATAGTGTATCCAAAGACTTATTACAAACAGAATATCCACCCACATGCAAAAACAAAACTGAAACTTTTTTATTTTCTTCTGACAATTACACCTCCTAAAGGAAGAAATGCATCTTGCATTGGAGAGTTCAGTTTGTAACCTAGGACTTACTTGTCCTCAGTGCACAGAAATTAGATCAATCTGATACCATATATATATATTTTAGAAATGATTTGGAAAATATTTGAACATACAAGGGGCTCTGGGGCAAGTGATGCTCTGTCTTCTTGGTGCTTGGGGGGGTCAACAGTGGGAGGGGCTTCTAATGTCCTGGCCCCACTGGTGGACCTCCTGAGGGCACCTGGTATTTCTGGCCACTGTGTGACCCAGAGTGTTGGACTGGATGGGCCTTTGGCCTGATCCAACATTGGCGTCTCTTATGTTCTTATGTTCTTAAGTGTGAACGTAGCTGAGTAAACAGTGGGCAGTTTAAGAGGATATGCTGGACAGAGTCAGGTTCTTTGCTAAGACATCTGCAGAATCTTGCTTTATAGGGGATGCCCTTGTATCTACCTGTGACCACGGCCGAAGGAAATTGGCCAGCATAAATGCTCTGCATTGAGAAGGGATTGTTAGGCTTGAAAAGTACTGAGCCATAGAGCTTTGTGGGAAAGCAAGACCTAGGAAACGGGGGGGGGGGAGTCCCCTCCATTCCAGCTTTTATTAGTTGTAAGTCAATATCCTGAATTCTTCTTTGAATTATTTGGAATATAGAGGTTTCATTGGAATTAACCAGGGAGTCTAAGTCAATACCTAAAGAATTAATTCTCTCCCTTATTAATTGGGACCATTTAGAAACATACAGATCAGCAGTTAGAAGAGTGATAAGACTATTTGGAGGAGGTTGAAAATAAAGATGTAACCAGTATTTGATGGTAGCAATCCCAGCTCTAGATTCTATGGTATAGAGACCCAACTCAGCACACAAAGTAGAATAACTAACTGAGTTGGGAATGAGAATGACACAGAAAGATTGCATTAACTAATTCCACCTTTTTATTAAAGTCCTGAATCCACATGGGAACCCCATACAGTAATTGAGGAATCACTGTCGCTCGAAAAATCTGTAGGGTGGCCGGGACAAATTGGTTACCTTTTTGATAGTGAAAATGGGTTATAGCAGCCATCTTATTCTTAGCTAAGCTAAGAGAATGTTCCTGATGCATGGATCATTTTAGATTATAATAAAAGAGAATACCCAAGTATCTAAAAGATTTAACTTGTTCAATTTCTCTTCCATTGATCTTCCAGACAGAACGCCTCCATGATTTAGAAAATACCAAAATTTTAGTCTTATCAAAGTTAATAAATAAGGAATTCTCGTTACAGAACTTGGTCCACTGCTTTTTAACTTGTTCATTAATGATTTGGAGATGGGAGTAAGCAGTGAAGTGGCTAAATTTGCGGATGATACAAAGTTGTTCAGGGTGGTGAAAACCAGTGAGGATTGTGAGGCACTCCAAGGGGATCTGTCAAGGATGGGCGAGTGGGCGTCAACATGGCAAATGGGGTTCAATGTGGCCAACTGCAAGGTGATGCACATTGGAGCCAAAAATCCTAAATATAAATACACATTGATGGGGTCTGAACTGGCAGAGACTGAGCAAGAGAGAGATCTTGGAGTTGTAGTGGATAACTCACTGAAAATGTCGAGACAGTGTGTGACTGCAATAAAGAAGGCCAATGCTATGCTGGGGATTATTAGGAAGGGTATTGAAAACAGATCAGCCAATATAATAATGCCCCTATATAAATCAATGGTGAGACCTCATTTGGAATACTGTGTGCAGTTCTGGGCACCACACCTTAAAAAGGATATTATAGCTTTGGAAAAAGTGCAGAAAAGGGCAACTCGAATGATAAAAGGGTTGGAACACTTTCCCTATGAGGAAAGGTTAAAGCGCTTAGGGTTCTTTAGCTTGGAGAAAAGACGACTGAAGGGTGACATGATCGAGGTTTATAAGATTATGCATGGGAAAGAGCAGGTAAAGAAAGAGGTACTTTTCTCCCTTTCTCACAATACAAGAACTCGTGGGCACTCCATGAAACTGCAGAGCGGTCGGGTTAGAACGGATAAAAGGAAGTACTTCTTCACCCAAAGAGTGATTAACACATGGAATTCACTGCCACAGGAAGTGGTGGGTGCTACAAGCATGGACGGCTTCAAAAGGGAATTAGATAAGCATATGGAGCAGAGGTCCATCAGTGGCTATTAGCCACAAGGTATAGCTAGGGGCTCTGGGGCAAGTGATGCTCTGTCTTCTTGGTGCTTGGGGGGGGGGTCAACAGTGGGAGGGCTTCTAATGTCCTGGCCCCACTGCTGGACCTCCTGATGGCACTGGTATTTCTGGCCACTGTGTGACACAGAGTGTTGGACTGGATGGGCCTTTGGCCTGATCCAACATTGGCGTCTCTTATGTTCTTATGAGAAGACCCTGATGCTGGGAAAGATTGAAGGTCAAAGAAGACGGGGACGGCAAAGGATGAGATGGTTAGACAGTGTCATCGATGCAACGAACATGAAATTGAGCCAGCTTCAGAGGACGGCGGAAGACAGGAAGGCCTGGCGTGATCTGGTCCATGGGGTCGCGAAGAGT